TCCGAGGCTTTGGGTTTAGGGTTTAGGGTAGTGGTGACACGCTGCACATAATTACTTGCGACTCCAAAATGCAAGACTGGAGCGGAGGAGATCACCACAAGTCCCCGAAGGCCAGCAAAGGGCATACCAGGGAGGTGGCTGCTGCGTGGCTCGGTGGCAAGCAATGCCAAGCGGAAAGACCGTGGCCTGTTCCCGAAAACCTACAGCTTGCAAAACTGTAGACCTAAGCCCTAAACCCTAAACCCTAAACCCAAAACCCTAAACCCTAAACCCTAAACCTTAAACCCCAAACCCTATAGCCTAAACCCTAAAGCCTAAACAACCCTAACCTCAACCCAAATCCCGAAACCTCAAACCCGAAATCCGTGGTCCGTCAATTGCCAGAAATCCAAGGCTCGTTTAGGTTTTCGGGTTGTAGCTAAGTCCATAGATGGTAGTATATATGGACACTCTGGGCACCCTAAACCCTAAACCCTACCCACCCTACACCCTACACCCTACACCCTAAACCCTAAACCCTAAACCTTACACGCTCTACACCCTAGACCCTACACACCCTACAACGCTCCTGTCTTTCTGAAGCGTGAGCTTCACGTTCCCCACCCCCCCCTCCCAGGCCGAGCGCCCTAAGCCGTAAAACCTACCCTTGCGCCGCAAAATCCTAAATCTAGGGTTTAGGGTTTAGAGGGTTTGGGGTTTATAGGGTTTAGGGTTTAGGGTTTACTGGGTTTATAGGGTTCAGGGTTTATAGGGCTTATAGGGCTTATAGGGTTTGTTGGGTTTAGGGTTTAGGGTTTATAGGGTGTAGGGTCCCTAAACTCTAAACCCCGCTGCCCTGAATCCTGAACCCTAGCACAGGTCTATTGCCGGTGCAGTGCTCGAGGATGTGGCCGTGGCGGCGCCAGCGATGGACGCATGGCGGCTGTGTGCTTCGGGTTACCAAAACCCTAAAGCCTAAAGCCTAAACCCTCAAACCCTAAACCCTCAAACCCTAAACCCTCAACCCTAAACCTTAAAGCCTAAACCCTAAAGCCTAAACCCTAAACCCTAAACCTGTGTTTCTGTTGTCAAAGCGGGGTTTGTAGGGTTTTCGAGCCCCCAGTCGAAGCCTGATTCTCCAACTTCGGGGGCTCCTTCATAAAATCATATGACTGTATATATCTGTGTGTAGAAATAGCAAGAATAGAACGTGCCAACAGGTATAAGCGAAATCAGATCATCATGCGCAATGTTGATCGGTGTCCAAACACAGCAACAGAAGGAAGATGCTACTATGCGAGTAGCCTAAACCCTAAACCCTAAACCCAGCCAGGGAGACTTGCGTCAGGAGACTTTTTGAGCAGCTGCAGTGACAACAGCACGAACCCGAACCGGAACCTGCAGAACCCTCCATGCCAAGGGTTTGGTTGTAAAGTTCCAGGAGGGTTCAGCCTAGACCCGATAAGCCCGAGGAGAAATTCCGCGCCATCACCACGAAGGACGTGGCTGGGCACGTTTTTTTTTTTAGGTTTTGGCTTTGGAGGCTGGAATTTTCATTGTGTTGCTTGTGTGTTTTTGTTTAGGGGTTTTGGGTCTAGGCGTCCTTGGAGTTGGTTTCTCTGCTTAGGGTTTTTGGGTCTAGGGTAGATTGGTTTTGGGGTAGGGTGTTGGGGTGTTAGGGTCTTAGGGTGTTTAGGGTTTAGGGTTTAGGGTGTTAGGGTGTTAGGGTCTTGGGGTTTTCGAGTTTTGTAGGCTTTGGAGAAGGGCCTGAACCGAGCGCCCAAGACCATGAGGGTACTATCGAAGCCAGAATACTTGCCAAGACTCATAATACTATTGATGATATAAATCCTGCATTACCTTAAGGACCCTAAACTGTGGGAATTATGGTATACATTCCTTATGCTGGGTAATGCAGGATTTTATATCATCAACCATACATGCTCTGCTAGCACCACTCCTTAAGGGCTCCTTATTAATTGGGGGGTTTCCAAAAAACAGGGGACCCCCCAAAAGAAAGCACCGACAAAGAGTAGGATCCTTGTTAGACGGACCCCAAAATCTGGTACCCTACTTGCCCGAATTTTCGGAAAACTCCCATCTATAGTACAATGTGCCCCAAAACCCTAGTTTGCTGACTGGCGCTTGAGGGTTTGATGGCCCTAAACCCTAAGGCCTAAACCCTAAACCCTAGACCCTAAACCCAGACCCTGATCCTAGACCCTAAACCCTAAACTCTGAACCCCACACCCTAACCCAAAGCCCTTAACCCTGAACCCCACCCCCCAACCCTAAGCCCTTAACCCCCACGGCCTTCACCGTAAGCCCTGAATAAGCCCTGAACCCCGCACCATAACATGTAAGGTGGAGAGCTTCCTCAACGAGCGCATCGATGCTTCCACTGGGGAGAAGAAGCTCAAGCTCGCACAGCGACTGCAGGACCCACGGTGTAGGGTTTAGGGTTTTGGGGTTAAGGGTTTAAGGTTTGGGGTTTGGGGTTTAGGGTTTAAGGTTTAGGGTTTAGGGTTTGGGGTTTAGGATTGCCCATGCTATTGAGTATACTACACCCCAAAACCCCTATTCTGATTATGAAGGGCCCCCTAGAGTAGGCTGGGGCCCTAAGGGTCCGGGGCTTCTTTCAGGGTTCCTTTAATTGGCTCTTCAAAGGACTTCTTTAATGGAGCCATTATCGGAACCGGTTTAGGGTTTTGGGTTTAGGGTGTGGAAACCATAAAAAAAGAGCCATGAAATAGGAACCTTCATGGGAACCCTTGAAGTTTGAACGCTTACGGGAACCTTCGTCCGGGACCCTTAGACCCGTATAGCCACGCTTCCCAAGAGTCTGCAATGCAGGATCATGTCGGGGTCTAGGAGTTTAGGGGTTTAGGGGTTTAGGGTTTAGGCTTTTAGGGGTTTAGGGGTTCAGGGTTTAGGGTTCAGGGTCTAGCGTTTGGGGTTTAGGGGCTTAGGGGTTTTAGGGGTTTAGGGGTTTAGGGGTTTAGGGGTTTTGGGCCTGTCAATCCCAAGCCTTGATCCTAGACGCTAAAAAACCCGCTTATGAAGGATGCGGGGACCGGAGCATAAAGATTGCATGCAGGGTGATCATGAAGAGAGCCTTGTCTTCAGTACTTATGCCTTCACTTCTGACCTACTTACTTCTTGTATTATTGGAGGTCTCTAAACCTCAACCCTGAGCCCCTAAAGCCTAAACCCTAAACCCTAAACCCCAAACCCCAAACCCTAAACCCTAAAACCCTAAAGCCCTAAAACGTACGCTGAACCCCAGGCCCTAAACCAGATTTCGAAGGCCCCTTACCAAAGCTCCTCGACCACAGGGGCCTTAGAAATCACAGGAGGGTTTGGGAGTTTGGGGTACGTTAGTATCGTGAGTGCAATGATACACCCTAAACCCTAAACCCTAAACCTTACACACTAAACCCTAAACCCCAAAGCCCAAACCCTAAAGCCTAAACCCTAAAGCCTAAACCCTAAACACCTTAACTAAGCCCTAAACCCTACACTTTTGCAATGAATACAACACCTCTTCGCAGGACATTCAGCTGGCTGCGCTGGTTTTTCCCTTTCGCTGCTGCTGGGACGCCACAGCCCACGCCCTGAAATCCTAGCCTCAGGGTTTGGGGTTTAGGGTTTGGGGTTTAGGGTTTAGGGTTTGGGGTTTAGGGTTTAGGGTCTAGGGTTTAGGGTCTAGGGTTTAGGGTTTAGTCGTAACAGGGGATGCATGGTGAGATCGGAAGAGCGTC